CAAAGAAGGACATTATATAATGGTAAAGGGCTCAGTCCAACAAGAGGATATAACCATTATAAATATCTATGCACCCAACACAGGAGCACCCACATATGTGAAACAAGTACTAACAGAATTAAAGGTAGAAATAGAATGCAATGCATTCATTCTAGGAGACTTCAACACAGCACTCACTCCAAAGTACAGATCAACCAGACAGAAAATAAGTAAGGACACAGAAGCACTGAGCAACACATTAGAACAGATGGACCTAACAGACATCTATAGAACACTTCACCAAAAAGCAGCAGGATACACATTCTTCTCAAGTGCACATGGAATATTTTCAAGAATAGATCACATACTAGGCCACAAAAAGAGCCTAAGTAAATTCAAAAAGATTGAAATTGTACCAACCAGCTTCTCAGACCACTAAGGTATGAAACTAGAAATAAATTATGGAAAGAAAATTAAAAAGTCCACAAACACATGGAGGCATAACAATGTGCTCCTAAATAATCAATGGATCAATGACCAAATAAAAACAGAGATCAAGCAATATATGGACACAAATGACAACAATAATTCAACACCACAAAATCTGTGAGACACAATGAAGGCCATGCTAAGAGGAAAGTATATTGCAATACAGGCCTACCTCAGGAAAGAATTATCCCATACGAACAGTCTAAACTCACAATTAATAAAACTAGGAAAAGAAGAACAAATGAAGCCTAAAGTCTCAGTAGAAGGAGGGACATAATAAATACTAGAGCAGAAATAAATGAAATTGAGAACAAAACAATAGAATCAATGAAAGCAGGAGCTGGTTCTTTGAGAAAATAAACAAAATAGATAAACCCCTGGCCAGACTTATTAAGAAAAAAAGAGACTCTACACACATAAACGGAATCAGAAATGAGAAAGGAAAAATCACTACAGACACCACAGAAATACATAAAATTATTAGAGAATACTATGAAAATTATATGCAACATCTAGAAGAAATGGACAACTTTCTAGAAAAATACAACCTTCCGCAGCTAACACAGGAAGAAACAGAAAATCTCAACAGACTAATTACCAGCAATGAAATTGAATTGGTAATAAAAAAAACTACCTAAGAACAAAATTCCTGAACCAGATGGCTTCACTGCTGAATTTTATCAAACATTTCATGAAGACAGAATACCCATTCTCCTTAAAGTCTTCCAAAAAGTAGAAGAGGAGGGAATACTCACGAACTCATTCTATGAGGCCAGCATCACTCTAATGCCAAAACCAGGCAAAGATATCACAATAAAGAAAATTACAGACCAATATCCCTGATGAAAATAGATGCAAAAATAGTCAACAAAATATTAGCATGCTGAATTTAAAAATACATCAAAAAGATCATCCATCATGATCAAGTAGGATTTATTACAGGGATGCAAGGATCATACAATATGAGAAAATAAATCAACATCATCCACCACATCAACAAAAAGAAAGACAAAAGGCACAGGATCATCTCCATAGATGCTGAAAAAGCATTCCACAAAATTCAACAGCCATTCATGATAAAAACTCTCAACAAAATGGGTATAGAAGGCAAGTACCTCAACATTATAAAGGCCATATATGACAAACCCACAGCCAACATCATACTTAACAGAGAGAAGCTGAAAACTTCTGCTTTAAGATCAGGAACATGACAAAGATGCCCACTCTCCTCTCTTTTATTCAACATAGTTCTGGAGGTCCTCGCCATGGCAATCAGACAACACAAAGAAATAAAAGGCATCCAGATTTGTAAGGAAGAAGTCAACTGTCCCTGTTTGCAGATGACATGATTTTGTACATAAAAAACCCTGAAGAATCCACTCCAAAACTACTAGATCTAATATCTGAATTCAGCAAAGTTGCAGAATACAATATTAATACACAGAAATCTGTTGCATTCCTATACACTAACAATGATCTAGCAGAAAGAGAAATCAGGAAAACAATTCCATTCACAATTACATCAAAAAAAATAAAATACCTAGGAATAAACCTAACCAAGGAAGTGAAATACCTATACCCGGAAAACTACAAGACACTCATGAGAGAAATTAAAGAAGGTACCAATAAATGGAAACACATCCCATGATCATGGATAGGAAAAATTAATACTGTCAAAATGGCCATCCTGCCTAAAGCAATCTACAGATTCAATGCAATCCCTATCAAAACACCGACAGCATTTTTCAATGAACTAGAGCAAATAGTTCTAAAATTTATATGGAACCACAAAAGACCCCAAATAGCCAAAGCAATCCTGAGAAGGAAGAATAAAGCTGGGGATACAATGCCTCCTAACTTCAAGCTCTACTACAAAGCCACAGTAATCAAGACAATTTGGTATTGGCACAAGAAGGGATACAAAGATCAATGAAACAGAATAGAGAGCCCAGATATTAACCCAAATATATATGGCCAATTAATATCTGATAAAAGAGCCATGGATATACAATGGGGAAATGACAGCCTCTTCAACAGCTGGTGTTGGCAAAACCGAACAGCTACATGCAAGAGAATGAAACTGGACTATTGTCTAACCCCATGCACAAAAGTAAACTCAAAATGGTTCAAAGACCTGAATGTAGTCATGAAACCATAGAACTCTTAGAAGAAAACATATGCAAAAATCTCTTGAATATAAACATAAGCAACTTTTTCATGAATGCATCTCCTTTGGCAAGGGAAACAGAAGCAAAAATAAACAAATGTGACTACATCAAGGTAAAAAGCTTCTATACAGCAAAGGATACCATCAGCAGAACAAAAAGGCATCCAATAGTATGGGAGAATGTATTTGTAAATGACATATCTGATAAGGGCTTAACATCCAAAATATATACAGAACTCCCATGCCTCAACACCAAAAAGGCAAATAAACCTATTACAAAATGGGCAGAAGACCTGAACAGACACTTCTCCAAAGAAGAAATTCAGATGGCCAACAGGCACATTCAAAGATGCCCCACATTGCTAATTATCAGGGAAATGCAAATTAAAACCACAATGAGATATCACCTCACACCAGTTAGGATGGTCAACACTGAAAAGACTAGGAAGAACAAATACTGGTGAGGATGTGGAGAAAGGGGAACCCTCCTACATTGCTTGTAGGAATGTAAACTAGTTCAACCATTGTGGAAAGCAATATGGAGGTTCCTCAAAAAACTAAAAATAGAAATACCATTTGACCCGGGAATTCCACTCCTAGGAATTTACCCAAAGAAAATGAAAACATTAATGTGAAAAGACATATGCACCTCTATGTTTATTGCAGCACTATTTATGATAGCCAAGATATGGAAGCAACCTAAGTGTCCATCAGTAGATGAATAGATAAAGAAGATGTGGTACATATACACAATGGAATACTATTCAGCCATAAGAAAGAAACAAATCCTACCATTTGCAACAACATGGATGGAGCTAGAGGAAATTATGCTCAATGAAATAAGTCAGGCAGAGAAAGACAAATACCAAATGACTTCCCCCTCAGTTGTGGAGTATAACAATGAAGCAAAATTGAAGGAACAAAATAGCAGCAGACTCACAGACTCCAAGAAGGGACTAAGGGTTACCAAAGGGGAGGGGTGAGGGAGGGCAGGTGGAGAGTGACGGAGAAGGGGATTGAGGGGTATCATGATTAGTGCACATGGTGTGTGGGGGGTCACAGGGAAGACAGTGTAGCACAGATAAGACAAGTAGGGACTCTGTAGCATCTTACTACACTGATGGACAGTGACTGCAATGGGGTATGAAGGAGAACTCAATAATAAGGGTGAATGTAGTAACCACATTGTTTTTCTTGTGAAACCTTCATAAGATTGTATATCAATGATACCTTAATAAAAAAAAAGAAAATACACCAAAGTTTTGTAATGCAGTAAAAAATAAAATAAAATGCATCGTGATTTCATTACTTGAGCTGAAAGGAGATGTTTCTCTGACCCCAAATATCTGGAATGGGACAAGTGATACAGAAAATTTCTTCTATAGGTTCCAGAGATGTGTGAAAAGTACTTCCAATGAGCCTAGTTTCTTGAACTTAGGTCTTTGAAATGAGTAAAGAAGCAATTGATTTTTAAGGATTTGTTTTCAAATAGTAGCTCTTTATATGAGTATTCAATAAGTACCCCTAAAAAAACAGATTATTTTACTGATGTGGATATTATACCTTCTAAAAGAGCTTTCCGGCCCACTTTTTATTGACACACTGAAGCCTCTGCTTAGAATGTGAGGTAACAAGTGTTTCATGCATTTAATTTTTTTCAGATACCAACATGTGCCAATCCTGTGCATAATTGAGATTCATATCACTATGACAGAATTATGAATGTCTCATCCCAGCAATGCATCTAAAGCATACAGCTATCTAGCAACTGAGCCATAAACTGAAAAATAAAGCCAGCAGTCTCTCAGAGATTTTTGTCAATGTATAGCATAAAAAACAAGAAGGAAGCAGAGGGAAGCGTTTTCATTGATCTGGTATTGAAGTCATTCGAGGCCTGAGATTCAATAACTACACCTGTAGTAGAAACTCTGCCTAAAGTTGTATTTGCAGAATTATTATATTTTCAAATATTACAATTTTCAGATTTGTATCATTCATTCACATTCCATCTATACATAGGTATGACTGTCAAGAGATCTATTGAACTAACTTAAAGTTACAATGGTTCTATATCTATGCCTGTAAACATAGATTGAGACTGTTTATATTATGCAAAATGAGATCAATTTAGAAGAAAAGAGTGGCAGGTCAAAACCACTGCTTGAATATTTAAGGCCAAAAAGCTGGTATACTATTTGTGTTATTTAGGCATATTTTTGATCCAGTACTTGTACTGTCTAATTATTGTCTTTTTGTTCCTAACATTCTGATATTTTATATTGCTTTCCATTGCCTTATTAAAAGTGGTATCTTCTTGATATCACTTTAGGAAGCTGATTCTAAGTTTTCAATTTCTGTTTTTCAGGAAGCTGTTGATAACCCTTCCCCATCCTGTGGAGTGCAACAGTGCCAAAGGTTTCTATACCCTTGAGACTGAGACTCTTGAAATCACCATGACTTTGAAAAGAGACATTGACTTTGATGTCTGATACTTCATTAATAAGGAGGAAAAGTTGTTAAATAGCACTGATAAAAAATAAAGAAAACCTTTGAAATAATTTATTAATGCTTTCTATCTTCTCTTTATTATTCTGACATATTTTGAAAAAAGCCTTAAATTTAATTCTAGTGATATTTTGATTATTTACAGTCTTTTCTATTCTCTGGTAGGAAGTATTATTTTCTCATAATTATAAGCTATTCCATTTTTATATAATAACTGGATAGAATTTAAATATTAACCAGATTATATGATCAATTAAAACTGAAATATGACCATGAAATGGTTGGTCCACTTATTTCAGTAGTCTAAAGAACTTAAGTCATCTAATTACTGGTATACCTCATTTTATTGTGCTTCACTTTATTGCACCTCACAGATACTGTGTTTGTTACAAATAAAAGTTTTGTGGCCACCCTGTTTTGAGTAAGTCTGTTGGCACCATTTCTCCAACAGCATTTGCTCCCTTTGTGTCTCCTTTTGGTAATTCTCACAATATTTCAAACTTTTTCATATTTTGAAATTTCATATTATGAAAATTCATATTCATATAATTTTTCATTATTATATTTGTTATGGTGATCTGTGATCAGTGATCTTTGATGTTGCTATTATAATTGTTTTGGGGTGCCACAAACCATGCCCACATAAGACAGCAAACTTAATTGGTAAGTGTTTTATGTGTCCTGACTGCTCCATGCACCAGCCATTCTCCCATCTCTCTGCCTCTCCTCAGGCCTCCCTATTCTCCGAGACACAACTATATTGAAATTAGGCCAATTAATAAGCCTACAATGGTCTGAGTGTTCAAGTGAAAGGAAAAGTGACACATTTCTCACTTTAAATCAAAATCTAGAAATGATTAGCCTAATAAGGAAGTCATGTCAAAAGCTAAGATAGGCTGTAAGCTAGGCCTCTTGTGCCAAACAGTCCAATTGTGAATGCAAAAGAAAAGTTCTTAAAGGATATTAAAAATGCTATTCCAGTGAACAAATGAACAATACGAAAGTAAAAATGCCTTATTGCTGATATGGAGAAAGTTTTAATGGTCTGGATAGAAGATCAAACCAGCCACAAAATTCCCTCAAGCTAAAGCCTAGTGCGGGCCCTACCTCTCTCCAGTTCTATGAAGGCTGAGAGAGGTGTGGAAGCTACTGAAGAAAGATATGAAGCTAGCAGGGGTTGGTTCATAAGATGTAAGGAAAAAAGCCAACACCATAACAATAAAGTGCAAGGTGAAAGTAGCAAGTGCTGATGGAGCAGTTACAGCAAGTTATCCAGAAGATCTCACTAAGATCTTTAATGAAGGTGGCTACACTCAGCAACAGATTTTCAATGTAGACAAAACAGCTTTCTGTTGGAAGAAATTGCCATCTAGGACTTTCATAGCTAGAGAAGAGATGTCAATGTCTGACTTCAAAGCTTCAAAGGACAGGCTGACACTCTTGTTAGAGGCTAATGTGGCTGGTGACTTTGACACCAATGTTCATTTACTGTTCTGAAAATCCTAGGGCCCCTAAGAATTATTCTAAATTTACTCTTCCTGTACTCTTTAAATGCAACAACAAAGCTTGTATGACAGCACATTTGTCAACAACATGGCTTAATTAATAGTTTCAGCCCACTGTTGAGACCAACTGATTAGAAAAAGGTTCCTTTCAAAATGTGACTGCTCAATGACAATGTGCCTGGTCACCCACAAGCTCTGATGGAGATGTACAATAAGATTAATGATGCTTTCATGCCTGCTAACAACATCCATTCGGCAACCCACAGATTAAGGAGTCATTTTGACTTTCAAGTCTTATTACTTAAGAAATATTTTTTTTAAGTCTATACCTGCCAGAGACAGTGATTCCTCTGATAGATCTGGACAAAGTAAATCAAAAACCTTTTGGAATGGATGTCATTAAGAATATTCATGGTTCATGGGAAGAGGTCAAAATATCAACATTAACAAGGGTTTGGAAGAAGTTGATTCCAACCCTCATGAATAATTGAGAGGTTTAAGACTTCAGTGGAGGAATTAACTGCAGAGGTGGTGGAAATAGGAAGAGAACTAGAATTAGAAGTGGAGTTCAAAGATGTGATTGAATGGTTGCAATCTCATAATAACACTTTTTTTTGAAAAAAAATGTTTAATTTTTTTATTAAGGTATCATTGATATACACTCCTATGAAGATTTCACAAGAAAAACAATGTCGTTATTACATTCACCCTCATTATCGAGTTCCCCCCATACCCCACTGAAGTCACTGTCCGTCAATGCAGTAAGATGCCACAGAGTCCCTGTTTGTTTTCTCTGAGCTACACTGTCTTCCCATGACCCCACACACACCATGTGCACCAACTCATGATAACACTTTAATGGAAGAGGTGTTGCTTCTTACGGATGACCAAAGAAAACAGTTTCTTGAGATGGAATCTCCTTCTGGTGAAGATGCTGTAAAGATTGTTGAAATGACAACAAAGGATTTAGAATATTGCATAAACTTAGTTGATAAAGCAGCAGCAGGGTTTAAGAGTATTGACTCCAGTTTTGAAAGAAGTTCTACTATGGGTAAAATGCTGTCAGTGACATTTGCTTTGTTGTGATGGTTTGCGTCACATGCTACCCAGAAATCATTTGTGAAAAAGAGATTCAATCAACTAGACAAACTTCACTGTAGTCTTTATTTTAAGAAGGGCCATAGCCACCGCAACCTTCAGCAACCACCACCTTAGTCAGCAGCCATAAACAATAGAGGCAAAGCCCTCTGCCAGCAAAAAGATTATGACTTGCTGAAAACTCAGACGATGTGTAGCAAGTCCCTCACTTGGGTAAAATAGGAGTGAACAAAAAACACAGACAACAAAGATAGACAGACAATGGCTGCAGCAGCCTCGATGTGGCACAGCTCTTTTATTTTTATACTGCCTTTCTCCGACCTCAGCCAAATGCTGTACGTATCTTTCCCTACTCTGGGGGAACAGGCCAGAACATTCTGTCGATTCCTTAGAATCTACCTAGTAAGCAGGGGCCGTGTTTTCACACGTCCCCAAAGCCATCCTGTTTGCAGGGTAAGGCATCTTGGCTCATTTTCGAGGACAAGATATGCTTTTGTGGGCAGATAACTTCTAAGGACTGCACCAGTTGTTTTCAAGCTGGTGCTTCTCCATTCTGAGTTCAGACATAGGGGAAGACAAAGGCTGTCCCCTACACAATGGTTAGCATTTTTTAGCAATAAAGCATTTTTAATTAAGGTATGTATTGATTTTTTTAGACATAATGCTGTTGCACACTTAATATACTACAGTATAGTGTAAACGTAACTTTTATATGCACTGGGAAACCAAAATATTCATTTGACTTGCTTTAATGTGACATTTGCTTTGTTGTGTTGATTTGCAACCAAACCCACTATCTCTCCAAGGTGTGTCTGTATACTCGGATAGAATCAGTTGCATAGCGATTGGTCATAATTATCACCAGAAGGGTTTATTTGATTGCTTTTTCATTGACTTTATCAAATGATTTAGAGTGTACTTTGCTTAGGCTCTCTCTATTGTTCTGGAATATACAAATAACAAAGGATTATAAATAGTTCAATGCATGATACTAACAACATGTTTTAGTTGAATAAATAATACTCTTGAGCACACAGTATTTATTTGGCTTCCTCAGTCCTGCTATCAATGTTTGGGTATAGTTAGGTTAAAAATATTTTTCCTTTTGTACATTAATAATTACTAACAATGCCTTTTGGGATACTGTGTTTATATTTAGTAATTGAAATCCTTGACATTAAAAAGGAATATAAAGAAGAGTGTGGTACATTTGCAAATCCTGTTCTCTCTCATGTCTTATCTTTATTCTTAATTGGACATACCTATTTTTAGGAATTATGCCAATGCCTCTGCCTCTTCTAGACTGTATTGCATAACTTTATTTTGGAATGATTTATGCATAAATCATATTTTAAAGCTTGTGTGACTTGGCCTCACATCTCTGTACAACTGTGGAATTATCTGGAGTCAATTTTGAAAAGAGAAGAACATTTGAAAGATGTTATTGCTTCTGTGTGAACTATTAAGGGACTAAATACACAAACAGATATTTTCTAGACTTAATTACGTAGATAACTATTAAGCATCTATCTAACGTGTCACTAGATCAAGTAGAAGGAAAAGACATTTTAGAAAAAGTGGTTGTATTAAAACACTAAGGTCTTGTAAAACATTTAGCATTGAAGTTGCCACCATGACTCTTCTGTGAGGGAAAGAGCTGAGGGTAAGATTAACTGGAAGGAAGCTACTATCTGTAAATTTAAGTCTATGATGTTACAGAATCAAAAGAGTGTCCTGCTTTGCTTTCTTAGCATCTTTTTTAAAGACTGTATTTTAAGAATTTAAGATTGCATCCTAAAGTTTAAACTCTGGAGCAAGTATAAGCAGTAACCAACATTTTTCTTCTCTAGAGAGCAGCAGTGAGTCCGTGGAAAATGTATCTCTTTTTCCTATGTACTGGCCCTAATTACAAAGACCATTATTACTCAAGCTGACTGAATGTGCACAAGTTGTCCCTGGAAGAAAAGATAGAGCATATCCAAGCCACCTTGACTGGGCTTTGGTTATGTGGTACTGTATGAATTATGTAGTGAAACAGAGCTTCAAGACAATGAAACGTGATCCTGTAATTTATACCCATCTACAAATCATCCTACTTCATCTTCCTTGGCCTCAGAAGTAACAAGTTTGTTGCTGTTATTTTGTTTTTATCCTAATTCCCAGGACTTCCTTCCTTTGAAGAGGAATAGTCCACTAAAGCAGCTGTGGGAAAAAGATAAATCAAAAGGAAGTTTACCTTGTAAGCATTTTTCAATGACTCTTAGCCATTTACCAAGAGAACTGGAAGTTAAAACCACAATTGTGGCATATCATTAGCCTTCTCCTTCATGAACCCCTTTACCTCATTCCATAATGTACAGTAGCACTTGTGAGGATGTATTCATTCATTCATTCATCATGTATTAATATGCTTTCAACAAATATCCACTAAGC